AGATAAGGATCGCCTAGGCATTGTTCCACTTTATATTTTTGAATATGGATAAGAGACTGATTTTCGATATATTGCCGTCGATTGTTTACCGATTTTTTTTTAATTTCAGTGATATCGCTAATATTTTAATAAAGCCATGATTAATTACTTAGCTTAATAATAAAAGTGTCAGCAAATATATTTTTAACATTGTATTCATATATATAAAAAAGTTGAAATGTTGATTTCAATTTGCTGTATTTTTAATTTAAAAATGTATCTCTCTTTTATTCTTATATCTCCACTCTGTTGTCCTCTTTTGGTTTTCTCTTGACTTTTACGTGAAAGACTTTTACAAACAATTAAAAATAAATTTACCTCTAATATTAATATTTAAAAATTATCTATAATATTACGTCCAAAAAATATTATAAGATATCGGCGTAATTGTCCAGGTTTTATAAAGAATGCTTAATGAAGAGGAGACAGAAAATGAAAACTATCAAACAAAAGAAAAGTTCATGAAAAAAAGCCATACGGAAGTGTGGACATAAATAGCTCAAAAAGGGAGAGACAGCGCAAATCCCGCTCGCAAGGAATATTCAATCGTTAAGGGAACGCAGCAAAAAGAAAAAAAAGAGATAAAGAAAAAAGTGGAGAAATAATCTAGCGAAGAGTAGTTCTCGGCGTCAGCCCTCTCCGTTCTCACAGGACTTCGTCGGGAAACCCGCAATCAAGGTCCCTCCTCCCCGCGATAAAAGCTTCGCGGACAGAGATTCTAAATATACGTGCGTTTTTCTGCGTATCGCTGTGATGCGGCTTCCCACCGAGACCAACCCTTTCAATAATTCGCGCGACGTTTATAAAGTTTTCGCGCGAGGGTAACGACAGGGTAATGCTCGATCGGCTTGATAGTCATCCGTTCCTCGATGGTCGATTAAATATGAAAATTGCTCGGCCGCTCTTCAATCTAATGGGCATCAACGCCTCGCGGTGAAGACAAATTCTCATTTGGCTGCTTCTCCTCGACGAGTCAAGATCTCATCGCTCGGGAACGACTATAGACAGGTCTATAGACTGTCTATAGACTGTCTCTAGACAAGCACGAGCGGCCAGATGAAGAATGACAGTCGAGACCGACAAGTTGCTCATTTAAAATATGCGGATATGCAGCACGCGATTGCTGTGTGCATTTCGGGCTAATCAGAAAATGTCAGGTAAGAAAAAGGTGCTAATTGGTTACGCACTATACGTGTTTAAGTAAAATCAAAGTGGGAAAATCGATAGCACGACGCACCACGTCAGCTCAGAGCCCCTGAAGAGTGTAAAGTTACCCCACAATAAACTTTCTATTATTTCCCTACGAACGATAGCAATTTCCGATCTGCAAAGCGTCGAATGCGAGAGTTATAGTTCGTCTGTGCAATCAGAAGAAGTGTCTAGTTAATCAGAAGTTTGGAACGTGTTCGAACGCGATGTCACTCTTTTGTCTTATTCACTTTGCTGTTGTTCCCCTCGGTTAATCGTTGTCTCTCCAACGTGCTCGTACTTATATACTCTCTATAGTTCGAGCGATAATTCAGAGCTGAACGCAATTGTCGGAGTTGTCACGCACAGCAATTATTCTGATTGAATTATCGGTGGGAGCAGTGTTTCGTGAAAAGTTATGATGTTTGACTGTACTAAAGGCTAAATACTGTAGGCTAAAAGTGAGCACATTGCACCAAGTTAAATGCTAAATCAGTTTGCGTTTATGTTTATCAACTTGTTGATGGAACGAATTGAATTTTCGCACCGCTTTCGTGCAAAATTTTTGGCTCATTGTCGTATGTGTGCGTGTTGATTTCTTCTATTTTTATACAGAAATGAATGTAAGATAAAATAATAATTGTCACACTCGTTCATTCACCGTTACTTTTTCTATAGGAGATTAATATTGCGAAGTGACTCGCGATGAATCGATAGCAGGATAACCGCTGTTCTGTTGCAAGAGGCTTTTTTCTTAGTCGTCTACCTGAACGTAAACGAACTTTTCTACCCTTTCTATGGTTTACGTTCGCCGAACAATTAAAAAAACGAATATAAACCCTACGTACGTTTCGTCTCAATGTACAATTTTCTTTTTATAAATTAGCAGTTGTCTTTTCAGAGTAAAAGAAATCGAATATGCGATATTTTCTACTGACCATAAATTTCTCTCCCTAATTCCATATTTGATCACGACAATATTCGCAAGCGATCAGTTATGATGACTCAAAAGATATTTGTATAGCAAGTCAGTAATTGTCAACGCGGTAAAATTTAATTTATTTCACAAATTTATGACGTTTGCAATGAATTTGAATTTTATTTAAAAATAAGCAAATTTTATTAAGGATGAATATTTAATATTATTATGGATGGATAAAAAAATTTTAGAAAATAATAGAACTAATAATTTTTTTCAGAATGAAATTATTATTACATCTTAAAATATTGTTGTATATATATATATATATATATATATATATATATGCATATACATTATTTAAAGGGCATGATAAAACTTGCAGCGATATCGCTTATTTATGAATGTTTTTTCCGTAAAGAGTAAAAAGCTTTATCCTGCTTTTTCACAAAATATACTCATTACAGAAACTTTGATATGGACGCCTTATCGCAGATTTCTGTTTCTGATGCATCGAGTGAATATATCGATCTCACTGGTCATTGATCGATGATCAGTGTCACAATAATCCTCTCTTTAAATGTCATTGTATCTGCAATTTTCGTAGTGACTTGATAGAGTTAAAATATGAAATACTTTTGCAAAACAGCTAAAAAATTATAATTAAAACATACCTTTAAATTAAAATATTAATTTCGAAAAATGTAAAAAAAAAATATAATTTAGAATAATTAATATCCAATTGTCACACAATCTATTTTCATACAAGAAGAGACATGATATAATAAAATTTTCGATATAATATACGGACATATGTAAAAGAGATGAATGCACTAAAAATAAGATGCAAGTGGCTTGAACTGGTAGTATATTAGGATATAAAATTATTATTATTTCTGATATAATTTTTATGCATTTATAATTTTATTTTTCTGAAGGATATTGTAAATTTACTTTCTCTTAAGTCGCAAAATATTCTCCAATGTATCTTCAATACGTAGTAAACGTACATATGTACGTATACATAGTTTCTAAAACAGCCAAGAGTTTGCAATAATTTGCAGTGATAATTCGGTAATTATTCTTTAAGATCGATCTTTATTAATTTGAAATGTGTGTATATAAAATTGCTAATTTCATTGTTATTGTCAAATTTTTGACATACACAGGTTAGAGAATAGTACGATCCAGCTATTAATTTGTGAAATGAAAGACCAAATTCCGTATGATAAAACCGTAAAAAATGTGGAAGTATCTCCACGTGCGCGTCGTCGAATGAAAATTTACAAACTACTTGAATCGGTATATCTAGATAAAGAAGAACCGGTATGTAACCAGCATTGATATCGATGCATTAATATTAAGTCTCTGATTAGATTTGGTCAAATAAAAGAATTACTCATGGTAAACATGCATCAATTATGAAAAAAAAGAACTGATGAATCTCTTTAATCACAAATTTATTTTATTCAGCTTCTCGAACTACTTTTTTCTTCTGTTTACAGAAAGGACCTCAAGATTTTAGTAATTATTTATTGACAACCAACGTTCCTAGTATTGTAAAAGTAAGTATCGCAACGTTCGATTTGTGATGAAATTATAAAAAACATGCAATTTTTTGGAAACATTTTTGGCATCACTAATGCACTAGTTCTGTTTTCAATACTTCTGTCAAACTTCTTCATTGTGCAGATATTATTAGTCTTTAGCAAAGATGATCAACAAATGGACATACTTACTAATACCGCGAGAAGATTGGGATGGAGTGTATCGATAGCAAAAGATGCGGAAAAAGCATTAGAACTTTTTCAAAATCGTGCTCATGAATTAGTGATTATCGATCATAGAGCACATCACGCCGACGATGGTGATGCTATTTGTAGGTATGGCAGGTCATTTAAATAAAATGTAATAAATCCATCTGTGAAAAAGATTTTTGTTCAAAATGTGAATTTATTTAAAAAATTTTCTATTATATATAATTTTTACAATGTGATAAATTATCTACACACGTGCACATTCTTTTTATATACTATTTGAAATGTTAAAAATATTAAATTTCAGAACGATTAGATCAAGTCCGGTTTATCACAGTTCTGTCATTATCGCGCTCGTAAAGAAATCGTAAGTTTATCAATTAAAAAAATTTAATTTACTTTTATTTTTATTTTAATATTTGAATGTCACGTGTCACGTCTTTTAGGTACTTCATGCTTGATGAAAAAGACCGTATTGTTGCATTAGACTTGCTAAAAAGAGGTTTTGATAGAGTGAGTGCTTATTCAAACATAAGAAGCAACTTTAGAAGTACATAAACGAGGTTTTTAGACAGATTTTCTATTGGATTCTTTATTTAGTTTCACTTATATTTCAGGCACTGATGGAATGTTCTCATGAAGGTATATTAATAAACGAATTAGTAGGGATATATACTAGCTCATTATTGCCGAAAACTCAACTAGCAGCAGCGCATGCATTATATTTGGCACTCGACAGATGCCGCGACATGGTGCATGTGACCAATGATAAAAACATTGTACAGGTATCGCGAATAATGTATTTGTATCCAATTTTTACATCTTATGTAGCCTTTTTCAACATTTTCCACTAAAATGAGAAAAATATATTTTGCACACATAAATATGCATTATTGTGTGTTATTTTTTAATTTATATATATAAATCATAATTTTATATTGTTTTTAGTTTTTAAATAAAGTCAGCGAAAAATTATTAGGATACAATGTAGAAGAGATGATGGGAAGAAACCTTTCGGAAATAGTAAGCTACGAAAATTTTTCTCTCATGGAACAACAACTGAATAAAGGCCGAGAATTCGAAGGAAATATGAATTGCAAGAGAAAAAACAATCAAATGATTACGATCAATTGCAGGATAATTCCATTCTGTATCACATTAAAGTATGTTTCCTTGATGTAATCTAAAAATATTTAATATATTTTTTATAGAATTTTATTACTTTGATGAAATTTTTCGTACGTTCAACATTTTCCAATTATTAAAAAAAACAAGCAACTTTTTTATTATATGGTATCACTATTAAATTAAAATATGCCCTGTTTATTATATTTTATAATAGCTGTTCTATTATAACTTTATCAATTATTATATTTATCTTTAGAAAACCAAGTCATTATATATACGTATACGATACTACGTATTTATCGGAAAATTCAGCACCAATAAGCCCAATTAGCAGCCCGTTGCATCCTCCTCTTAAAACGAATACGACGAATGCGCGAAAATCCTCGGATGTTAGATCTGGTTCTATAAATGAAGACAAAGGTATTTCTACAATATCAGATAAATATTATTGCTAATCTTAACAAACTAATATTAACAAACTGTATATATATATATATATATATAATAAAAAAAATTTCGTCTTCTTAGCTTATGCTTTGGTATAAAAATGAACACATTGAAAGGCGCGAATTAGGTCACCGGCAATTTTATGACACACTTTGCGGCACGTATTTTTACGTTAAAGAGTTATCGCGCCAATATCAACCCTACATATTGTCGTTGTAAACATGTCAAGAAATTTAATAGCACAAAACTGGGACACACCTGCTATAGCCTGGTTAATACGAAGGCTTTACGTGTCTATTAATTACTGATATATTTTCGAAGATAGAAATTATGTATAGTATTCCGTAGTATTTACATAGTGTATGTAATTTCTAAATTTTTATAACATTAAATTGCATAGTTAATTTTAAAAATTATTATTCTTATCATTGTAATCTTAATCTAATTTAATATAAGAATCCTTAGTACGAGAAAGATTATATTTTTGTAACAGGCCGTAGACGGTCCAGCTTGCAAAAATTGCATACCTTACAACTGGAAGCTCCTATCACTAAAGTCATTACGTTACTTTCGAATGCGGTCACGGATACAACTAATCCGGAAACAGCAGCACAGATCGATAAAGTACGTGATTAATCGAGATGTTTGTCGTTCTATCCAATTAAATAGGTATATGTTGTTTGCTGTTATCTTCTACGTCTTTCACAGGCAATCGATATCCTAAAGACGACGGAACTCTATATTCCACATCTTAAGGAAGATAGAGCAATGTGTAGCGATCCAGTTGCTACGGATCTCGTTGGCGCATTACTTGCTGTAAGAATTTTAGCATTCTTCGTTTCAAATGAAAAAAATTACAAACTTGAAAAAATAACAATATAAATTATGCATTTATAAGATTTTTTTTCTTTTTATTGATATTTTGTTTATTTGATTAACAGTCTCCGCGCACAACATGGGAATCTAGAAGGTCGTCGTCGGATTCTGCGAGACTATCCGCTATCAAGGCTATCACCAGTCCGAACAATTCGCGTGTGCAAGTAAAAAATTTCCGGGGGCCGCAAGAAATTATGGAGATACTGGACAAAAGTCTCGACTGGGACTTCGAGATATTTAAGCTTGAAGTATTGACGGAGAGAAGGTGGGTCATGTGAACTATCAACATCATTTTGCGCAATGTTTTGTAACAGTTTTATAATTATTAATTTAAAACAGATGTCCTACATTTTTTTCGTATCTGCATTTTAATCGATTCATTATGTTTATTATCTAAATTGTTTGCGTTTTTGATTTCTTACAGACCGCTCGTTTTTTTGGGATTGACAATCATGAATTTATATCGAGTGCCCGCTACAATACATTGCGATGAGAGAACGTTACAGAACTGGCTAGCCATTATCGAACACAATTATAATGCGGAGAATAGCTATCACAACTCAACGCACGCGGCCGATGTCTTGCAAGCCACTGCGAGATTTATGCAATCAAAGAGACTCAAAGAAATTTTAGAACCTTTAGACGAGGTTGCTGCTCTATTAGCCGCCGCTGCGCACGACATTGATCATCCTGGACGATCTAGGTAAGATGATTTACTTTTGATATTGAAAAATAAGATAAGATATATTAACAAAAGTAGCTTTTTAATGATATGCTTAAGTTACATATATAGATTTTTATTTTAATCACAAAATATTAAAAAGAAAACTTGACAAAATTTTCTAATTATTTTTGAAGTAAATTATTTAATTACTTATCATGCAAAAATATCTAAACTCTTGATATATGTTGATAATCTGGTATTGAATTTAAATTCATTTCCAGTCAATTTCTTTGCAATGCCAACAGTCGTTTGGCAATACTCTACAATGATTTATCGGTTCTCGAATCGCATCATGCAGCCTTAACATTTAAACTATCATTGTCCGACGATAGTGTGAATATTTTTAAAGTAAGTTTTTTTCGTTGAATCGCTAATTTAAAAGTGAATGTGTAAACTATGCTGAAGTTGTAACACTGGATTGAATGTCTGCTTTAGAATATGGAGCGAGATGCATACAAACTGTTACGACAAAATGTCATTGACATGATTCTGGCGACCGAAATGACGAAGCACTTCGAGCATCTGGCGAAGTTCATGAATGTTTGCAGCGCAAGAATTGGCGACGGTCAAGAGGTACTGTATATTATTTTCATGTTAAAATTGTTAGTAATTTTATATTTAATTTAAGTATCTAATTAATTATCATTATTAATTTTCTACTATAGATTAAAGTTTGTATCATCCTCATTATTACCTTCTTAATTAATAGTTATATGGATTATCAATAATATAAAAAATCTAATTACTCTTCAACAATAATTCTTTATATTTTTATGATCCAAACATAAATGATAAAAATCAGTTTTGCAATATTAAAAAAATTATTTTAGAAATGTTTAACATAGATATATCTAATGTAGATGAGATTATAATTTTATATAAATTTATTGAATATTTTACTATAAATTGTTCTAATACGTTCATAATGAATGAAAATTTAAATTAAAAAAAAATCTTTCAGACATATTCAGATTCTCTGGATATGACTGTGATATTACAGCCAGATAATGTAATACTAATTAAAAGAATGATGATCAAATGCGCGGACGTATCTAATCCAACACGGCCATTGAAATGTTGCGTCGAATGGGCGAAACGAATCGCGGAAGAATATTTTAATCAGGTGATTTTGATAATTAGTAACTAAAAAAATTCATATAAGGAAGATAATTCACTACTCTTACGTTCAAATATTTATTGATAATTTTCAGACCGATGAGGAAAAAAAGTTGAAAATGCCAGTCGTAATGCCAATGTTCGATAGACTGACGTGTTCAATACCGAAATCGCAAATCGGTTTCGTCGATTATATCATTAACGATATGATTGAGGCTTGGGATGGTTCGTTCTCTTCATTACTTTAGACTCATTAAATATTAATATTCGAATTATTATTTTGCCATTTGTTATTTTCATAGTGTTTATCGACATACCGGAAATAGTGGGTTATATGCGATACAATTACGAGAAATGGAAAGAATATAATGTAAGTTTTTTTAATTTAATTCGCAATTTAATTACTTCGAAATAATTAACGCGAAATCACTGTACAGTTATATAACAATATTCATAGTAATATTATTTTCATAGTTAATTTCATAGTAATATTATTCCAAAATTTAGAGATAGACAAAACATCAGATATTTAGACATCATAATCTGGATGTTTAAGTTCTAAGTTTGTTTATTGACATGCTTCGTTTTAAATTATGTTTTACAGGAACAAGGTATATCTACTTTACAAGATATCGAGAAGCTACAACAACATCCCGAGCTGCAAATATTGCGATTATCTTGAAAAGCGTGTCTCGTTTTGCATCTCATTTCATACCTCGTTATGTAATATTTACGCTGCGATTATCGCAAAAACATGTATAGTATTTATGTATTTAAGGATAGAGCAACGATGTCGTGTCTTCTCGAATCGTTTTTAAGAAAATACATATAATTTGCCGTTTTGCGTGCCACTAGCATTTTCATTATTTATATATAACTCCATTCCTCTCAATGACATTCGCTGTATTATTATTTTAAACATGTGTGTGACACATTAATAAAATACTTGTAGTCTAATGAAAGAAATATCTTTGTGTATGCAACTCCGAAGAATGTTATTTCGAACAAAATCTTCGCTGCGTTCGCGCATGCTGATCGTTAAATTTGTACGAGACCAACAAATAAATAAGAAGAATTGCATTTGAAATTGTTTCTTATTTCTTATAGCCAGAAATTAATCCTTTACCTAATTTTGCCATTAAGTTTCAACGGTATAACTAATATTTGGAATAGAGAGGAGAATTGGTATAACTCAAGTCGAAAGAAAACACTCGCACTATGTAGGTCAGATTTCACTTTATTGTTTCTTTCAGCCAAGAAATGGCGTAGGGCCTATTTCTATGCGCTGCATAAAAAAAATACAGAATTAAATAAAATCAGATATAAAATGTAAGCCGTATCCAGATGAAATTTTGCACAGTTTTTATCAACAGAGCGTATACAATTTCAGTTATGCAAATTACAAATTTTTCGTTTTTTTGTTAATACAGAAAAACACGCATTCGCTTTTTCAATCTAAAACTGTCCTGATATAATGTTGTTGCATCTAAGAACGATAATTATACATTTATGTACGTTATAAATGAAAAAGGATGAGAATAATAACATCAATAATCCATCGAGTTACAAGTATCAGCCTAACAGATGGTTACTAATGTAAGTCACATTCATTGTAAAGATTCTTACGTATGCTGACATATGCTTACAGTATATATGCATTACACCATAATACGTCTACGGGACGCACGGATGATCATGGCCGTTTTATCCAGTATCAACGAGACATTGATCTTTTTTACCTCGAAAGACAATCAGAGAGTATTGAATCATTTTTAGAGTTTATTCGAAGTATGACACGTAAACACACGGAATACTTCACAATAATATATTTTGGAGTAAAGATGAAGATAACGATAAGATTCTTTTAAGGTAAGCCTCCTGCTCCTTAGTAGCGGGTCATAATACCGAAGATGTCCGCCAACAGTGCCAACAGTTGGCACACAGTTGGCGGACATAAAATAACTTAATTATCTTAGATAGCTTATTATTATTATTATAATGCCACATAGTATGATTCATCGAAAGGTCATCTAGGAATTATGCTTAATGCTAAATGCTCGCTGCTTTTTGAACGTACCCACAAGTGCATTGCTAGAATTAAGAATTTGCTTTAAGAAGAAGTCTTTCCCTTTCAAAATATGTCTTTTAATCAAACAAAAGAAATTCGCTTCCAGTGAAAATTGGAATTTGCCATCGACAATCGTTTTTTTTTTAATTTCTAAAACTATACTTTTCGCTTTTGGTCACTGAGATATTTCGATAATGGTTATCCAATCCAGTTTAAACATCACAGATAAATCTCCTTTTTTTGGTTGCGTGAAATAAAAAAATTTATTCATTTTAGAAATAACTATAATAATACACTGTTAAATCTGTAGAGTCAAATTTAATCTAATGTTAGTTGCTGCTCCTACTAAATATATCATTATTTTTTACCAAAATGATAATTAAATTTGACACTATATCATGACACTATATTGTCAAGTTGACATTATATAGTGTCAAATATAATCATTGTTTCAGCATAAAATAACAATAAGATTGAATAGGAGCAATGGCGACGTTAAGTTAAATTTGCTCTAGATTTAATAGTGTAAAATTGTTTATCAATTGTTCATTGTTGTAATCAGTAGCGTATTTTTAGACAAAACATGAATCCAGGATCTATTTCGAGATTGTTTTATTAGCAGCACTTGTGTCGTTAGTAATCAGAATTCCAAGAATAAAGAATTAGCATAGTTCATTGTTAATATGACACTTATAGTTTTATTGGCATATAGCCTTTCCTTAAATATTATTCTTAGCATTATTATAATAGTACACATATATATCTAAGCTTTCTCTTTTTTTTGGTGACGTGCACGTCATTTTTCGTTATTGTTTTATACTGTCGCTTATTATCTTTCTAATGACATACCTTTCCCCAATAAGGGCAAGCATTACAATTCAAATTATGTAATCCGGTGAATCGCCGTCTTCATCGATTGTGGTGCATTGCTGCTAAAATTATTTTCGCGCGAAGCTAACGCAAAAACTGATCAAACTATGACCTATCTTTCGTGCAAATAAATATCGTGCTCACGCAATCATCGCGATCAAAATTATTAAATCCCAAAAAGAAACTCAAAGGTGCCATAACGACTCGATGAAAATCTATGTCGCGCAAAGCTAACATAACCGGCGTTAATATATCATAACTTAATTTCTTATGTATATTAAACGAGAAAGAAGCAAATCGAAGGAAACTTATTCTAAGAAAAACGCGTATAATCCAATATCCTAAAATAACACGTACGTAGGCGTAGCCCGTATTAAGAATGTGCTCTTAGCATTCTCCGTGTCTTCTAAAAATATTTGGTAACTCTTGTCGATTTAATATTCCTCCGTGGGATCAAAGTGATTTACTTTAAGCTTATAAATATGATTTTTAACTCGACAAGTAAGTAAAGTGTCTTTGATATTTGTAGCGATTTCTGAATAAACCGACATTCAATTTTCATCACGACTGATCGAAGATCGCTGTTTCTATTTCGGTCAATTTCTCTATTTTTAGTGGTTTGCTCAGCGAAGTACGGCCGGAGCGAGAAAAGCTTTAGAGAAACTCTTGATTGAAGTGCTTTTTGGTGTGATACAATGATCGGATGATTTTAAGTTTTTTGAATAGTTATAATACAGAGGATTATTTATAACGAAATTACGCGTTTTGATACACTTTTAGAATTTCCGTCTTTAAATACGATGTCTAAAGTAACAGGCTGATAAGCAAAGTGCATTAGATAGCCTACTATTTCGCCACTCCACGATTTCGATGGAGGCAGCGTTCAAACAAAGAAAGGCTCGATAATAAATCGATGTTTGCTTGAATAGTCAAACGGCGTTGTTTTTACAGAGGAATTCGAACGTATCGAATCTGTTTTATTTTTACACAATATCGTCCGTTATCAGCCCCAAATTCGGTTCGTAAGGCGCTACGTCTTGCGACAATCGCGGGATGACGAACCGGTGAGAATTCCGATCGTATAGATCGTAGTTTCACAAAGTAGTAAGAATATTCGAAATGCCGTCGCGAGGAAGAACGGCGGAGTCAATTTTCATAAAGATCCCTGTATTCAAAGTCAATGTATTCTTGGACAGGATAGTCAGTGAAACGTCACGTGACATTGTAGGAGAGCACCTCCTCCTCATCGCGGCTATTTAAGATGAACCCGCGATTCGCGCCGAATCAGAAGTCAACTCGGATGATATCGGAATCGTCTGGTGATCTACGAGTAATTAATCGAAGTCCACGTTCCACATAAAATACGGTATTCCCGCGTTGTGAATTTTTTGTGTGAACTCCGGGATTTCTCCGGTCGGGAGTGCAATCTTTGCGTCCTCATTTATAGCTTACTAATAGCTTACCTTAAATGGGCTTTCAGTACAAGTTTTTAGCTATAAGGAGATTGTAATGTATCGATAATCTTAAGATTATTTAACAGTAATTATTTGCCTTATCAAGCATCGTTTTTTGGATCTAGACCCAAATGTATGCTTATTAGTACGAAATATTTTGTGCGATTCTATGTATTCGAGCAAGATTGATTCGAGATAATCTTAAGCTAACGGTCCTTATGTCCTCGCACCCACCCATCCAACTACCGACAAGAGTGGTCATTGAAAACGCGTGCTCTTAATTCTGGAAGAAGGGAAGAATAAGGAATTTTACCGCGAGTCACTTGCGATATCCGGATCTTTAATAGTCGTATTGCATTTGAGTAAATCGCGCGTTTCGAACGCGTATGAGGTACAAGGCTTTGCAGTTGCGGTGGGCGTATGATTCTAAACTAGTCCCTGCGCTATCTGATTGATCCTGCGCTATCGTTGTTCCATCGCCTAAGTTGGTCGATACTCAATTTCCGACGGTCTGTCGGCCCAAGATTGAGCTTTCACTTAAACTCCCTGCGTGAGCTTACGCAAACGGACTAGCTTCTTAGCGGTTCCGCGCTGCTGCTTATAACTTACGACTAGCCTTAACTTTATTATCGTGTTTTCGTTATCTTTTCGAGTGTTGAGTCGCGAAACCGATTTGTGTACGAGCTATCAGTAATCTCCCCGATATCTATGTACCTCGCGCACATATTACTTTGCTCATCCACCTTGTGGAATTATACGAATTAGGTGACGTTATTTGAATCTTTGAATCTGCTTACGCGAAATTTTTCTATCGTTCCGCAAAGGAAGTTGTGATTATAATTGTGTTCAAAATCGCCTCATCTACATTACGTGATCCAAAATTAAGATCCGCGTTAAGATCTATTTTTTTATATACAGATTTACCCAGTCTGTCGAATGGAAGAATTCAAGTGTGTGTGAAAAAGAGCTTCTCGCTTATATTAGATTTTAACGGAGGGGAGTTTTTAAATCTACAGCACAGTGTGAATTCACAGTGTGAATTAATGGATTCTCGATTGACGCATTCTTACGTTGTCCTAAAAACTATTGATTAATCGGTATATTTAGGTAGACGATTTACCACTTAGACTTCGTGTAAATAACTCTTGACGAGTCGAGAGAAGATGTGCGATATTTGATGTGCGCTTATTGTAGCCTTTTATAAATGCGTTTTGTCGGCGAAAACTCATCCATTCCGGAATGGATGACTTAGATTTTGGTAAGCCTTTTGTAATTGCAATGTATTTATTGTAGAGTCAAGTGGTAAGTTGTTATTCGAGGGGTTCTTGCGTATATAAGTGCATGTATGTTAATCTCTCGGATTCGAGAAATTAATTGTACGCTTAACGTAATAATGATAATTATGATAATATCGCCCGATCAATAATACTAACGAGAGAACGAGTACCTCCTTATTCAGTCTAGCTTACAATAGAACTTAGAGTTAATCTCTGTAGATGTAAGTTACGATTACTATTCGATAACGATAAAATTCTTTCGCTCTTGCTTCAGTTTTCATTCGCTCTCGTTTTTAGCCATCTATATGCTATTGTTCACACCTCGAAGATTTTCTTTTCTCCTTTTTTTTTTGGATTTTTGGATTCTTTTTTTTTCTTTGTTTTCCTGCAGCTTGTGCTTGTTACCGACAAGTGTCAACATTCTGTCAAGACTGTTAATGAGCTGATAAGCTCCCGTCATTTATTATAGAGATCTCTTTTTCATATGCATCTAAATACACGTGTTACACGTGTAATCAACATATCCGTGTTTTAATCCGTGTAATTTTTAGTATATGGGTACACGGACATTGAAATACACGAGTACACGGGTATCTTTAATACACATTCAAAATCATGATCCTTACTTTATAGATGTCCATTGTGCCCCTTGTTTTCCGCAATTGGTGGGACGACTTCGATCGTCCCGTTTCGCGGCTATTGGACCAGCACTTTGGCATCGGCCTCCATCGAGATGATCTCATCTCGAGCCTCTCCGGACTTGGCCTCGATCGGCCGTCCGTACGCTTCGGGAATAGATACTATCGACCATGGGGGAACGTGACGCGTCAAAACTCGAGCGGGACCAGCACGATCCAGTTGGACAATGATAATTTTCAGGTATTAGTATTTGTAGATTGACTTTAAAATATCAAACAATAAAACGGGACGCTGCGCGATTAAATCAAATATGAATTTGTAAATCTTTTTTTTCTCTTTGTAAATCTTTTGATTTGAACGATAATTTTGAATTGAGTCTAAACGTGGACTTTTGTAAATAGGATAAAGTTTTTAATTTATACCTGTACGTCGTCTACAATGGAGCTTGAAATGTTAGAAAACTTGGTGTTTCTATTTTAATTTATTTGCAAATATTTCAATGTTCAAGTAATTTTATATCTGATTTTATATCTTTTCAAGCGATTTTACTGAAAAATAATTTTACTTGATTAAAACGCTGTTAGTAATTTATATTCAAATATCTTATAAAAAAGCGAAATAGTAATTTCATATTTTATT